AGGTAATCAATTATAATGAACATGAAAATCGAAGAGCACGTCACTCACCTGCATCACGCAAGTTTTTTGTGATGGCTCCCAAGCATGTCGGAACACTTTAGCTAAACAAAAAACGAAGCCAGCGTATATGCGTCTTAACAGAATGCCTGGTTCCGTAATTTGTACCTTGATTTTATGACACTAGTTTTGTTTTTAAATTAAGCGGTGCCTTAATTTGTCGAAGTTTATGAAAACTTAAGTTCGGGATGCGGTCCATTCAAATACTGTACGTTACGTAGAACTGTCGACAAATTTCCCCCAAATACACGACGTAAGAGGGAAAAAGCGACTTTTCCCCTTTATTTACGCTTTCGTCTGCTTTATTTCCCCTGCCTTAGCTTTTATTTCCCCTTTTTAGGTTGCTTGCCCAAGATCCCATGGGATCTCACAAAAAAATAATTTAGAGTTGGATCATCACTGTTCATTTTGTCTACTGACATAACGTACTTGGTATGCGTATACTAAAAAATATTTATTAACCACCGAAGTCATATTACCTTATGTACTTCTTTCAAACAGGTCTCAAAATTGTCCCGACTTGTAAATCTTCGACGTAACATAATATCATTGAAGGTTCGTCCTATATCATACATCCTCACGATGGCATTGTCTTCGTTACTTGAAGAATGAACGTTATCAGACACAGCGTGGCTGAAGTCAATTTAAATCTAAAAATGTCTTGATTTGACCGCTTCTGAAAAAATTTCACGAATTGTCGATGTGACGCACCAATCATCTTGCGACAGCTTGACCTTGAAGTGCTCGCAAAATAGACATTGACCCACGTTTGCGTCCATATGACGCTGTAAAGGATCTTCAATGCTTTCTAATTCTTCAGGTAAGAAATACAGTTAAATGTATCATTAATTCCAGGTTCCAATGTCATTTCCAACTCTTTTAATTGAATCCGCATCTTTTGCAGCTAAAATTGTAGCTGTAAATCATAAACGTGTTACGACAATGAGACATGAATTTATAGACTCACGTCAGTCATTTCTTTTATTTCAGAAATTGTGTCCGCAGAAAATTCATTGAATTCTGCCGGTTTACTATTCCCTCTGTAGATCCCCATCATGAACACGTCACTAAACCTAGGGGCAATGATCCTTCCCAGTATAGGCCATAACTGCTGATTGGAGCTTCTAGACACAGAAAGTCCATCTATATTGATATATAAATTTAAAGAGTCAAAATCAATAGTACACAACCAAAGGTCAACGTATCTTAGCAGATTGGTTTTCAATCCTAGATGGTAGTAAACCCCACTGCCGATAAACTTAGGTTGAACACTTGGACATGTCTTCAGGACACCTCTGATGCTTTTCGGTACGTCCGGGATAAGAAATCGTAGACCATAGAGAACCCGATCAGCATCTCTTATGCTCAAAGATGTATTTGACATTATATACATGATAAAGTCGTTCATCAGGTCTTTGCGATTTAGGAACTTCTGAGAGCACAAGTTCACGTCAGTACATCCTATAAGATATATATTCCCGTGTGAATTCAATGTACATACCACTATAATCTAAAAGCGTTGGATTGATGTTGCTAGTGGATGGTGTAACAGTTGAAGTACTGTCATTACAACTGATTTCTTTCTTTACTTCTATCAATTTAATGATCAACACTGTTGAACTCAGTTACCTTTTATGGTGTTTTCATCAACAAACTCACTGAACGAAAGGAAGTCATATTTTTTCGTGAAAGCGGCTCGCATTTTATTCCACCTCCTGTTATAAGTGGTTCTATGACAACCAAGGGAACGTGACAAGTTCACAGTGGCCCTGCGTCTACGAACATTCTCACTGACTTCAATGCAACTCATAGTATTGGACTAGCAAGGTAATCAATTATAATGAACATGAAAATCGAAGAGCACGTCACTCACCTGCATCACGCAAGTTTTTTGTGATGGCTCCCAAGCATGTCGGAACACTTTAGCTAAACAAAAAACGAAGCCAGCGTATATGCGTCTTAACAGAATGCCTGGTTCCGTAATTTGTACCTTGATTTTATGACACTAGTTTTGTTTTTAAATTAAGCGGTGCCTTAATTTGTCGAAGTTTATGAAAACTTAAGTTCGGGATGCGGTCCATTCAAATACTGTACGTTACGTAGAACTGTCGACAAATTTCCCCCAAATACACGACGTATGAGGGAAATAGCGATATTTCCGCTAAACAACCGACGTAAAGGCGAAAAGCGACATTTCCCTTTTCGTCCGCTTTATCTCCCTTTCTTCCCCTTTTTGTGTTGCTTGGGGATTAATATGAAACCATATTGACGAGTTCTTATACCGCATGCACTAGGATTTCAAAGCTTCTGAACCTTTATCAAACCTCAACTAGTTCTTAAATCATATAAAAGAAGAATATCCATTGTAATTCATCAGTTTTTGATATATTTTTGCTTTATACTAGCTTTTTCTGATTGGCTAATGTTCTCAAGGTCACTTAAAAATACATTCAAAGGTCGTCCATAAAATAGAGTTTCACAGAATAATCGAGCTTAACAAAAAACGAAGTCAGTGTTTATGCATCTCATCCAAATTCCTGTGTCCATATTTCATTACTTGTGTTTATGGCAATAGTTTTGTTTTTTATCAAGTGGTGCCTTATTTTGTCGACGTTTATGATCATACAATGGTGTAGAACATGTCGTCAGCTATCACTGACTTGACTTAAACGATGCACAACATATCCTCGGCCATTACTAACTTGAATATTGATGTAAAGCAATTACCATCTGAGTCTAATGAACGCGAAAAACCGCATCATTTCGATTGCGGACTATCAAGTCAGCAGTTCCCTTTGTCATCTGAAGAGGAACTGCAGATGCTGGACACTGGTTTGCAGCAGAAAGAAATCAGGGACAGTTTTGTAAGTCATCAACATTAATTTAATAATTTGTTCGTATTACAGATGGCCATGGTAACGAGGTTAATGGATAATAATCCTAAAACCTCAATGCAATATGTTCTGTCGCACCTCTTGACACCTGAGGTTGCCAGTAAATTCACGCTACTTGGCACCTCTTCAAAACGAGCACTTCGGAAATGCTGGTTTTACGGCTGCATACGAAGTAACCTACATCTATTATTTGAACTTCAGGCGCATTAACAAATCGCTTTTTGTCATCATCTGTCAAAGGAAAAGACCTTGAGAAACTGCACGATATCGCGACACAAGGCTATTTTCACGACGTCGGAGACAAACTGATAAAGCGTAATAAGAGAAAACAAGATCAGGTATGTACTAATTTAAAGTGATAACTTCCCTACTGTTCTATAGTTCCAGTCAACTTTCTTAACAAACATAACCGTGAGTTAAGCTTCAGGTATTTGGCTGTGCCAAAGCATGTCATCCAGATATCGTTGTAACTTCTTTTGTTTTTTTGGTAGGACTCCAATTTATGGACGAGCCAATCAGAAGCGTTTAAGGAATTTCAAGGTCACGGCGGTAAGTTCAGTGCAAGATGCTCACATTCGATCGTTTTACGGCAGATTTTAGAGAATAGGTGATCGTTGAGAAACTACAGCAGATGGGACTATTAAGAAGTTCCTGTATCTGTGACTGCGGCAATTAAATGACCGCAGCACGATGTGCAGACTGCCACGATGACATTGTATGTCGTTGTACTATATGTTGGAGAAAAAAATCTGCCCGAACTGGCACTTTTTTTGCCCGGTCACGGCTAAGGCTAAGACAAACCATGATAATCGTTGCAAATTGGATCATAAAATCTCCAGTAACATTAGCTGCGGCTATACCGATGATTTGAAAGTGTATAGATGCCTCTCCAGACTTGGTTTTGTGCATCATGTTGTGGTGTACAAACGTCATTTTGTTGATCCAACGACGGGGGTGCATACAAAGAACATTGAGGGCGTGTGGTCTAGGCTGAAGTATTTTAAAGACCCTACCACGGCTCCAGAGGACGATTATTATGGAGTCATATGGACGAGTTCTTATACCGCATGCACTATGATTTCAAAACTTCTGAACCTTTATCAAACCTCAACAAGTTCTTAAATCATGTAAAGAAGAATATCCATTGTAATTCATTACTTTTTAAAAAATATTTTAACTTTATACTAACTCTTTTCTGATTGGCTAATGCTCTCAAGGTCACTTAAAAATTCGTTCAAAGGTCGTCCATAAAGTACAGTTTTGCCGTTTGTTTTACACATGAGAATTCACAGGTGGATTATTTTTATTCTCAATAGCCGAACATGCATGGCTAAAGGAAGTAGTCCGTGAAATGTTTTTTATGTTCTACTTATTTTTCAATAAAAATTATATTGTAAATAAGCTTACTTCCTATATGGGGAGCTAATTAAATGTTGAGAAAGTGTGTTTGATTGTCAGTAAACTTGCGATTAAACACACGCCTTCTTAATGATACATCACCTGTTTCTTTTGCAGATCTTTTCAAATAACAACCCAAGCTGCCAGCTTTGGGGAAATTTTGGGGAATTTCAGGGAAATTTTGGGGAAATCCCCAAAGTGAATAAACCTTCCCCAAACTTTGGGGAAATTTAAGGGAAATCCCCAAAATTGCCGTAGCGCATTTTTGCACACTAACATTTGATGGACATAATATAAATAAGCCTCACAGTATTAAATTTGAATAGAGAAATTTACATTTTAATTCAATACAGACTTTTGATGAAGGATAATCTATCCAGGTCTTGTTTTAATACATCAACAATCAGACAGTAGTCAAAGTTGTCAGTTGTAAAGCACTTTTTCAAAATTTGAAAGCTATGCAGGTGAGTTGTTTGCAGTGCAGGTCGGAAAATTTGGTTGCTGTCTATGTTCAGTTTTACTTAAGTGAATTATTTCTTTCAGAATAATAATAGACAGCTCGATAAGATTGCGAAAAGGCGGGCAGCAGACACGAAATACCCTAGGTTGTTTGGCTGTTCCCGATCAACCTATTACAGAAGGTTGAGGAAAATGAAAGCACAGTTTATAAAGAAGTGTCAGTTACCGAGCTGTGACGAAGAGACAGACAATCCAGTTGTCGTCACAGAATCGCATCGTTGTGGTAAGTTGTAATCAATTAACATTTATTGTTTTCAGACGACTACAATGTAGCCCAGGAATTAAAAGTGTGTTTAGCAACAGTACTGGGCTACAATACTAACATCGCAACTAACGATGAAACGCAGCCTTGTGACGCTGAAAAACCAAAAAGGTTAATTGTTCAACTTGTTATATCATTTGTGTTAGAACTGTCAAACGAAAGCTTAATGATTATCTATGCACCTCTGAAGAACTAGAGGTTGCTGAAGTTGAGGCTGGATTTGCCCCGGTGGAATTTCCAGTTGTCAACATTTCAACAGGAACGTTTTCTCCGATTGCGAGGTTTGTACCTACTTTATCAATACTCATAGATTAGTTCATCGAAAGCTAACCTTTCATCACCACCAATTCTACGTACGTCGACTGAAGGTGATAAACCGTAAGTTGCATTTACTTTATTCCTGATAACGAAAGTTTGTGCGATGATACAAACGAACTGTTAAGAACGCTCTTGAAATCGGTCAGTGAGCTGTCTACGAAAATAGACAAAATGCTATTTTTGTATGAACGCTTAGCCATGGGTGTAACTCACGGGCGTACAGAGGAAATGGATAGTGATGCAATCACTTTCCCATTACGAACGCATGACGAGTTGCGTTCTTTAGAGACAGCTTTAGAGAACAAAAAATTCCGGGATCATTTCGTAAGTTGTAACCGGTGTTTGAAGAAATTATAGATGGAAAGATTATACCATGTACTATGTGATGATCTTCGGAAATCAGCAAAAGCCTGTCTGAAATACATCCTTTCTCCGGAACTGGCAAACACGTACACCTTGCACGGAACCAGAAGAAAATTCGGGATTAGTAAATACAAATTTTACTCAACGGTTCAAAGTAAGTCCACATTACTCTATCAACATATTTGTAGGTGCTTTGTGTTCACACTTCCGGAGTGCGACCTGTTCGGAAACGGAGATCACGCACGCCATGGCTACGGCAAGCCAGGCCTTCTTGCATGACGCAAGAGATAAAGTACATAAACGTGGATGGCGATCCAAAGAAAGGGTGAGCTAAAACTACTTAATATGTTTGTTATAATACATATATTAACTTTGTCACACATTGTTCCTACTCGTTCCCCTTCCTACTCTTTTGTATATTGATTAATACCACTTAATAAAATTCAGTATTCAGTTGTATTCCCAATAACTGAAGTTCACTTTGGGGATTTCCCCAAAATTCACAGGATGTTAATTATCATTGTATTTATCACTATAATCACTGTACTTTAATTACTGTAACAGCTTATTGCTTTGTGATCAATACTCAAAGTGATATAACTTGTCTCTTGTATGTTTCCCTTTCAGCTGGCTTCGCAGGCTTTATCAGACGTAACTGTAAGTTCTTTGTTCGCATTATTAAGAACATTGTTATACTGTTGGTACATCATCAACCTTTCACATATCTTGACACGTTATTATACACTAAAAATGATTTATTTATTTATTTTTTAGAACATTATCAATGACAGTTCTACGTCTACGTAAGGTGTTGCTGTTACAACGCAATGAAAAACTTTGTATAAATGATTCATTTGTAATTTTATTAACTGTAATAAACATTTATATATTTCATAAATCAGTCTTTTGATAATCGCGATAAATCGGTCAACATTAGGTTTCATTAGCAATGCGCGATTGACGAAAAGTAATAAAACATCGCAGTAAGAAATGTACGTAAGCATTCTCCCTAGGTCTTCCGTGATGTCGATAGGCTTTCGTGAAGCTTTTGCGTTAAAACAGTTTTCCAGGAAAACCCAAAGGTTTGGGGAAGCTTCCCCAAAATGATATAGCTATATATGGTGTTCGTTTCCCTTTCACCTGGCTTCGCAGGCTTTAACAGACGTAACCATAGTTTATTTGTTCTTTTGTATATTCTTTTATACTACTTACAAAAATTCAGTAGTCAGTTGTATTTCCAATAACTGAAGTTCACTTTGGGGATTTCCCCAAAGTTCCCCAGGTCTGGGGAAATTTTGGGTTTTTTTCTCATTTCCCCAAAATTTATTATAGCGGCTTCCCCAAAATGGACTAAATTTTCCCCAAAGTTGGGAGCCTGGGAATGAATTGGCAATTACAATGAAAATGCATAACGATTTGAATGAGATGCATGCACACTTTAGACAGGATTAAATATTATAATTACTTGGTGTAAAGAGTGGCTGATGCCTATCAACACAACAAAGCGTGTCTACATGCACTTTGTGGATGCGAAGGTAAATAAGTACAGCATAGGGGAAGTGCCTGTATCCATGGTCCGGTCTCACAACGATCTTGGGATGGCAGATAGCCATAATATTAAGACCACGGGCCATTGCCAAGTTGTTATACCATTGGTACGCAACATGGATGCATAGGTTGGATGATTTATATGACGTAGGGCATTCGTTTGTCTACTATTAGCTATTTAACTGTTTTGATAGTGCGTTTGTAGTATAGAAGGTTATCTATTTTCTTTCTGTAGAACACTCAATGAAAGTTCAGTACCAACCTGATGTATTTGACCAATACGCATAAGCAATTGTTAAAAATTGAAAGTTATTTGATAATTTGCACTTTTTTAAACTTTAATGAACATCTTCATTCATAACACGTCTTTTTAATTACGGCAGTGCTCATCTGTCGCGATAGATCGGTTCTTATTACCAACTGGTCTACTTGCTTTGAGACTGCATTCACTTTGCTAAAACAATTGAATAGGTGCCTAGTAACTTTTGGATACATGTTATTAAGTTGACAGGCTTTCCTGTACAATTGGCGATCTTGGGGTTGTTTCGAATACAGTATTGGGGATACCTCCGATTCGTGCAGAATGTCCCCAAAATGCGTAAGAAAATTAGGGTCTGGTCACATTTTTGATTGGTTTCCACAAAGTTGTCGCAAATTTTGAGGAAAAACCAAAAATTGCAGAAAATTTTGGGGTAAACCCATAATTTCAAAAATCTTTGGGATTTTATCATTAAATATAGGCGGATTTCCCCAATGTCATAAGATTCTGAGGTTCTTGTGCCATTTCCCCAAAATCTTCTATTGCGGCTTCTCCAATATTGGGATCTCCATTATTTTCTCAAGTAGCATGCAACTACACAATGATGAGAACTTTTCCGTTTTTAATGGGATTAAGTTGTTAAAATGGAAAATCTGTCATCCGGTTTGATAACTCCCGTCGGTGTAATTTGTAAGCTCCAACTATTCTGATGAATTGGTTGTTTATAATACTGAAGTATTAAAAACCATTAACTGCGAAGTGGATCTAATCACATCAAATCATGTAATTGATTAAAAAAAGAGAATTGTGCGCTAAGGACCTTGTTTCGACACATGACGAAGAAGTACAGATAAATATAAGAGTATAACACGGTTGTTTATGATCCAGAAGAATCAGCTTAGTCGCTTTAGTAATCCTGAGAAAAGCTATTCTACATAGTACAGATCAAATAAATTATTATCGTAATCAATACATATTTATCTTCTCTATTGTTTCCATCAGTAAGTAGAATCATCAAAGAATGACAAGCTGTGACCTAATTTTCTAAAATGCAACAAGAATACGAACTCATGCTTGAGAATAACTGTCGATTTAGATCTATCACATGTATAAATTGAGTACATTAATTCAATCTCTCTTTTTAGTCAAACACGTAGTTGCACAAGACTCAGTTTTCTAATGAAAAGATGAGAAAGTCAAACTATATTTTTGATGCGAAAAATTCTATGAACAATTACTTTTGATAAAGAAGTGAACGCAGGATTACTTGAACTTACATCGAGTGAGTGGTGTATGAAATATGTAGACGCAAACATCGATTTTATGTATTTTCATAAATCTCTGTAAGAGCTCTTCACAGTAGTCGAATTCTATTAGACTGTACCATTGTCGGATTTCCAATGGTAAATATCTAAACAGCAAGTAACGTTATACTGGTATAATTAATAACTCCAAATATTAACAACGTATTCATAGAACATCGACCTGGTCTTTTAAAGCCTGGTTTCAGCAACATACTGTGGTGGCAGAGGTTTATAGCATAGGTGGGTGCTTCTATGTTCTATAAAATATGTAGTATAATTATATAGCCTGCATTTTTTGAAAATATGTTATTAAACAACATTCAAAACAGAACTACTAAATAGTTATTAGGAACTTGTATGCTAAGTATATTTGGGAGAATTTCAAAAGAATTATCAAGTTATCTTTGTTTTTTATGGGACAAAATATTTACTTTCTCGGTCATAATAATCATGCTTAACCAGAATTTTATGGAAAAGTACTAAATTAAGTGAATAACTCAGAGACTTATCTAGTCGGTACCTTGTTAGTCTATCAATTTGAGTCTGTGTAAAAGTCAAGAATGCAAAACAATGTTCTGCCATAATTTTCACATGCTCTGTGAATGAAAATCGTTATTATTTAACCAGCATTCATGACTAAACATTATCTAATTGCACATGTTTCCCTCACTAGCATTTTATTGGATAATTAACAGCTAGCTTGTTTTCTGTTGGTTAATCTACTGAATATCCGTTTGGTCATTTTAAACTAGCCATTTACCAATAAAATTCAACATTTTCAAGAGTTGCAATTTCTAGTTATGCTTATTAAGCTATAAAACAAGTGTTGGTAGACTTTACAACTCAATATTGTGGGGATTGTATTTCGTGCTTAAGCTTTTGCGATGATTACTTTTAGACAACACGATTTCGAAATTATTAATTGAATTGTATTTAAGTGTCACTTTATTTACATATAAATAATCACAAAGTTTACATAATAGTGCCTATAATACATTACTATGTCTTGTTTACACTGCGTCATTGCAAAATATTAATATTGTGTCAACTCCTCATGGAGACCTTTAGTTTTGAAAACAGTATTTGTAACACAAACTATGACAGGATTTCAATATAGATAACGATTTAGTGGAGTGAGCCGTTCTAGGGTCACTTCACTGGTGTTTTCATAAGCAACTTGTGTCATGTGAAATCTTTTTATAACCGAACTAGACAAAGAAACGCGATCAAATCTAACGACAATCGGTAAAAAAGGCTTTGTATATACATACCCCTACATGTTTTGGATTTTGACAAATGTGTGCAAATTTTCTTCACACAGAATCTCATGAAACGTTAGGTTAATATCAACTCGTTAACAGCAAAAATTAAAGTTTCACTAGACTATTTGAATTGTCAGAAAGGCTTCTCATCAACTTTTTGTTGTCATTATAAATTCAAATCTTGTCACAATGCAAAGATTACTTTTAGGATTTAGAAACCATTTTTTTAGTTACTATGAACAAAGACCTCTACTAATGCTATTTAGGAACTGTAAATTTACAAGTGATAACCATTAAACATTTGTATTGTCTATACTTTTACTGATTT